GCTTCTCGCCGTTGGCTGAGAGCCGCGCATCGATCAGATGCGGATCGGAGAAGCAGCCGCACATGGCGTACGTCTTCCAGTCGGTCCGCCACGCGTTGAACGTGCTCTCTCCGTGGCGGACAACATACACCGCCTCCATTCGCCCGCTACCGTCAGCCTCCAGGCTCAGTCTCCGGTCACGTCCGCCACCCGTCCCACGCCGCTCATCGCCATCGCCATCGCTATCGCCATCGCTCCGGCCCTCGAACGCTGCCCTTGCTTGGCGGGCCGCCTTGTCCAGGGTCTCATCAAACGGCTCGAGCGAGATGCCCCGCACGCCTGTTGTGTAGTAGAGCGAGTCCGAGTAGAAAGAGATATCCGACCCATCGTCCTCGACCCTCTCGCCCCGAGCTGCCCGTCCGTCTTGGCCACCGCCGCCGCCAGCGTATCGTCCGTACTCGTTGTCGTCCTCCTCCGAGTACTCGACCTCGTACGAGTAGGTGTAGCTCTCCAGCGCTGGGCTGTTCCTCACCCGCAGCGGGTCACGTGCCCGGTACTCATCAACCCACGACCGGTTTGCCGCCATCGTCTCTGCTGCCGCCTTGTTGGGTGCTCTCGCCTCTCGACCGTCTGCTTCGCTTAGAGGCCTGCCGCTGGTGGCGCACGCCAACGGACGGCAAACTGGCCGACCCGCCGCCGTCACCTGTGTCCTCGGCGGAGCTGATGGGGGGCTTGATCTCCGCCCACACGTATGTCTGGACTGGATTGATCTGATCACGGCGGGCTGCCACGCATGACGTGCTGCGAGCGGCTGATGTGGTGGAAAGCTGGTCTTCGTAGCAAGCCTGGGAGCTGTAATGGTTGGCGGTAGTGTCTTGGTCCCGGAGGGACTTGTTTGTACTGCTTATCGATTCATTGTTCGTTGAATAATCGTTAGACTCGCTTTCAATGATTGTCTCGTTCAATAATCAGTACTCCCCTTCAATCATTGTCTCGTTCAATAATCGTTACTCCCCTTCAATCATTGTCTCGTTCAATAATCAGTACTCCCCTTCAATGATTGTCTCGTTCAATAATCGTTACTCCCCTTCAATGATTGTCTCGTTCAATAATCAGTACTCCCCTTCAATCATTGTCTCGTTCAATAATCAGTACTCCCCTTCAATCATTGTCTCGTTCAATAATCGTTACTCCCCTTCAATGATTGTCTCGTACGATAATCAGTACTCCCCTTCAATGATTGTCTCGTTCAATAATCAGTACTCCCCTTCAATGATTGTCTCGTTCAATAATCGTTACTCCCCTTCGTTCTTCTTCCAACTCACCACCTCACCCCCCCTCCCTCCACCCCCCCCTCCCCTCCTCCGCACACTACACCCCCCCCACCCCGACACACACACCAACAATGTCGGAACTCTCCACGGCAGAGAGCATTGTGCAAGAGGTGCATGCAGGGATGGCAAAAGCGAATAACCATGCTGCAGGCGTGACCGATGTGTCGTGCTCCCGCGACGGTGACTCTTCGCCGTGGACCCTCTCGCTGGTGTTGGTTCCGGACTCGGACGCGACGGTTCTGGCATCGATCAGTGTGGATGTCTTGATTCCTGCTGCGTACCCGCATGCGGACGATGAGTATCTGTTTGTCTCGCTCAAGGCTGAGGCTCCTTCGCCGGCAGCCGCCTGGGCGTCGGATATCAACTCGTCGACCATGGCCCAGCCGCCGGCCTCCCTCTCGGTGGCCGGGCTTGTTGAGCGCATGGTCGCCTCGTACGCGCTCCGGTCGAAGCGTGCGCACTCCCCAGCCGCCGGCAAGAGCGAGGTCTTCAGCGACGACAGCGACGATTACGAGTTTGACGACGACGGTTACGGTTCGTCATCAGTCATCGAGATGTCCGGCTACTCGTCCGACGGCGAGCTCGGGCTCGGCGGCGATCTTGACGTTACGTCCGAGGCGTATCTCGAGCAAGAGCTGCGGGTGCTCAAGCTGAAGAAGCGGTGGCGTGTCAAGGAGGACGAGCTCCGCGCCGCCAAGGAGCGCGAGGAGGAGGCCGAGCGCCGCCGCTTCCGCGCTCGGCGCACCTCGCGCGAGAAGATGCAAGAGGAGGCCAAGCAGGTCTTTACGTCGTCGGCGGCCTCGGGCATTCTCACCAACGACCTGCTTGAGCTGATGAAGGAAGAGGCTGCGTCAGGCATTGTTGTCACCCCCATCGACGACAACATTTACGAGTGGTCGGTCAAAGTCTCCCAGTTTGATGAGTCGTCGGACATGGCGGCCGGCCTCCGCGCTATCTCGGCTGCCCACGACTACGACTATGCCGAGCTGAGGGTCTCGTTTGTCATGGACCTCCATCCGTTCTACCCGCCGACCGTCTCGCTTGTCCGCCCGCGCTTCCAGGCCTTTATGATGTCCAAGGTCACGTGCATGGACGCGCTCAAGTTCTCCAACTGGAACCCGGTGGTCTCGATGAAGGCCGTCCTCACCCAGATCAAGAACTTGCTCGCGTCGCTCGGTCGCCTCGAAGTTGATGACCCGCGCAACGACCCCATCGGCTACCCCGAGGGCGCCTACTCGGAACTCGAGCGCAATTTGCTCAAGCTCGAGACCACCTCGGAAGTCGAGGCCCGCGCAAACATCATCTACGCCGACCAGCTCGCCGAATTTGGTGCCGCTGCGCTTGCGCCGCAAGTCGCCCCGCCCGACATCGCCGGCCCGCCGTCGGTCACTATCACCTCGCGCGACGATGGCACGCCTGTCAAAAAGCGCGAAACCATGCCGGTCGGCGAGTCGCCTCTTGCTGCCGAACCGCCTCTTGCTTCGCCAGGCGAAAGCGAGATGCAGCCTGAAGCCACCAAACAGCAGTACTGGGCCAAAGGTACCGGCTATGGCCACGGCTCGGGCCTGAGCGCGTCGTGGGATGTCAACGCGTATCTTGCTGCTCAACAGGAGAAAGACATCCGCATGGTCCGCATTCTCGACGCCGTTCGCGACGCCATCGCCGTCCCTGACCTTCCGGCCGAGCACGTCCGCGCTGTCACTGAGTCTGCGCTCGTCCCGTTCATTGTGCTGCAGCTCCGCAACGATGCTCTCCTCGACATTGCACGCCACGACAAGCTCTACACCGTGGTCTTCGACATTGTGGCGGCCATCGCGTCCTCGCCCGACCTCGCCCCTCTCCTCGATCTTGCTGACAATCAGACAAGCTCCATCTTTAGCCAGCTCACCAAGCTCGCAACCATGGCCAAGGCCTTTCTCCGCATCGTGGGTAGCGTAGCGTCACCGACGCAAACTGCGGCTTCGTACGCCTTCGCCGTCCGCGCCTACAACACCGCGTCCGCAGCCGGGCACACTGCGCCGTCGTCCGACGAGCCGTCGTCTGACAAGCAGGCCGGCCTTGCGCGCGCCATCCTTGCCGTGTACGAGGCGGCAGTGGAGGCAACCAAGGCTGTACGCGCCGCGACCCGCGTTGCTATGGACATTGAGGGTGGCGCAGGCTCGAGCGCCAAGGGAAAGACCGACGACGAGTCGTCCGCCGCGCTTCCGTCGTCCGCGAGCGAGTTCCGCCCGCTAGCCGCCGACGCGCAGGACGCTGAAGCAGAGTCACTCTACGCCCACGCACTCGGCGAACTCCAGTTCCGCGAGGGCGAGATGGACATGACCAAGCACCACTACCAGAAGATGGTCCTTTCGATGCCGCCGCCGTCGGCGCCCAAGATCCTGCGGCTGGCGCAGGAGCAGTCGTCGCTCGCCACCTCGCTCCCGCTCACCCTCTCGTCGTCGGTCTTTGTCCTCGTCTCGGAGGACCGGACCGACTGCATGCAGGCGCTTATTATGGGACCTGAGGACACGCCGTACGCCTCGGGAGCGTTCCTCTTCGACATCGCCTTCCCGGCCTCGTATCCTTCAAGCAATCCGCTCGTCAACCTGCAGACGACTGGCGCGGGCTCGGTGAGGTTCAACCCCAACCTGTACAACTGCGGCAAGGTTTGCCTCTCGCTGCTAGGCACATGGTCGGGCGCTGAAGGCGAGAACTGGAACGCTGAGACGTCAACCTTTCTCCAGGTCCTCATCTCCATCCAGTCGCTCATTCTTGTCCCGCACCCGTACTTCAACGAGCCCGGCTACGAGCGGTCGATGGGCACGCCGGAAGGCGATCGCGCGTCGGCTTCCTACTCGCGGCTCCGCCAGGTCGCCACCATCCGCTACGCTATGCGCGAACAGATCGAGTCGCCGCCTCGCGGTTTTGAGACTATCATCCGTGCCCACTTTTCCTCAAGCAGCACATCATCCTCGCCACGTGCGAGAACTGGATCGCCGCCGCCGAAGCGGACGGAGCCAGCGAGGCTGCCGAGCTCCGTCGCGAGACCAATGCCCTCCGCACCGTCCTCGCATCCCTCACCATGCCCGACATCGAGGCTGATTCCGACGACTCGGACTCGGACGAGTAAACGCATCGCTCAGCGTGCTATGCTCGAGGCCAAGCTGTAGCGCTAAAACGGCAGGCAGTACTGTGGCTGGGGCTGGAGGAGGGATCAAGCCGGGGCGGGCACTCGCCACACACGCCAGGGCAACAGGGACGAGGCAGGGGGGAAGGGAGACAGCAAAGAGCGCAAGCTTGGTGTCTTTGGGGTTTACGCCTCAACAGGGGCCTCGGCAGCAGCAGTCTCGGTGACGGCCTCGGCAGCACCCTCGGTGGCGGTGGCGGCGGCGGCCTTGGCGGCGAGAGCGGCGGCGATGGCCGACTCGGCAGCCTCGTTGTTCTGGGTGCCGTACGGCTTCTTCTTGTTGTCGTCGTCACGGCGGCGGCGCGGGCGGCGCGGCGGCTCGCGGTTCTTGCGGTCCTTGGCCGGGCGGGCGCGGACAACGCGGGCGTGCAGGGCGCACGAGATGCAGTACGTCAGCTTGATGTACATCTTGGGGATGACAAAGACGTCGTAGACCGAGGCCTCGATGATGTCACGCTGGCCAGCAGACTCGATCATGTTGCGCACAAGCATACGGCGGACGCACTTGTCCTACAGGGGCATCCAGCCAGCCACATCCGGTCGTCAAAAGGTGAGTGCCTTGCCCATACCCCCCGGTGCGTCCTCCTCGCCCACTCACACACAAAAATACCATCGATGCCCATAGCCAGCACCCCGCCTCATACCGCGCCCACACGCGCGCGACAACCCAGCGCCACAGCCCACAGGCTCAGCCAGGCGCAGCCGGAACTACAGCTACCTGCCCGTAGCACCCGCAGTCGCAGCTGCAGGCGTTGGCCGCCGTGGCCTGCCTTGGACTCGACGGCAGCAACCAAAAATGCTCAAGCATCTCGGCCAGTCGGCCAAAGCCGCCAGCGCACAGACACGGCGCAGGGCGGAGGTAAGGAGATGGGCAGACACCTCAGGACCAGCAAGAGACAGATAGAGTGCGTACCTTGGGGACGGCGCGCGAGCAGTTGGTGCAGCGCACAAAGGGGACGGAGCCGCGGCCCTTGCGGTTCTTGCCATGGTTCCGACGCTTGACAGTCATGCTTGGAAATGGAGAGGGATAGTGAATACCAATTCAGCTCGCGCAAATCGCCACTCGCTCGCTCGTCATGTTTTTCACTTTTTCATTCGCACCCTCCGCCACACGACCGACCGGCATCCAACAACAGACCGACAATTGAGGGGAGGGGAAAGGAGGGAGTGGGGAGGGAGGGAGAGGAGGGGGGGGTGCTTTACTTCTGTTTTTGCCAATTTGTGATGCCCACTCCACAAGTCACCCAAGCAAGGCAACGTGTTTCGAATCGCTCGTATGCTTACAGTACCTGTGCATGGATGTGCCTTTTACACACACCTGTCGTCCAGTCCTTGTCAGGCCTCTTGTGCAACCTGCTCGTCCTCGTCCTCTACTGTCGCGCTCGTGGAGCAGTTGCCACTCTCGTTCATGGTGACCCTGAGCCGAGGTTTGAGTACAGAACCCGAGCCGGGTAGCTCCCCACCGGTGGTGCGGATGCGGGAACTACCGGCCAGCCTACCGCCGTTGAGGGGGATATTTCCGACCAGCCCGGTGGCGCCGAGCCGGGAGCTCGCCCACAGTGGCCACAATAGTGTCGATGTCGATGTCGATGGGCTCGAGGCCGGCGGTTCGGACGAGGGGCATCCGAGTCACGACCGGTTGATGGTGTGGACGGCTCGGTTTGGAGCCGTTCTGCGCTTTGCCGGACTTGTTGGCATGCGGAGCAAGTGGCGCAAGGGTGGCGCGTGCGTGGGCGCCGTTGTCTTTGCCGGCATCTCATGCGCGGCGTGGGAGGCGATGGTGGCCCGGGCCGGCGAGTACGCAGCCATTGTGGGCGTCAATGCGCTGCTCTTTGGCTACACTGCCCTCCTCCTCCTGGCCTCGGCCTGGAGCTTGCCGGTCGACTGGTACACCGAGCTAGTGGCCTTGATGCTGGCCACGACATCGGCAGCCGAGGCGCGGGCGCGAGTTGATCGGATCTTCAAGTGGGCGCTCATTGGCACCGCAGTTGTGTGCACCATCAATGTGATGAGCGCGTGGGCAACAGCTTGGGACGACGACGCGCACCACTCGCGGGTTGTCGACTTTATTCTCGATGGCGTCAAGTCGAACCCGTTCGTCCGGGCTGGCTACCTTGTTGCGCTCTCGTTCATCATGCTGCCATGGATCGGGTCAGCGGCCTTGGTCATCGGGGCGCTGCTCGCGTTTGGCGCACGAGTCAAGGCCACGTTGAGGACGCTCGAGCCGTTTACCATCCTTGCCCGCCATACAGAGATTTGCCACGATCTCTCTCGCGCCATGCGCATTCTTCAGCCGATGTTCATCCTTATCTGTCTCCTGAAGCTAGTCACCATCGCCATGTTCTCCGTCGCCCTGGTCGTTATCGAGGACTACTCATCGAACGATCTTGTGGCACTGCAGTTTTTTGCCATCCTGACAGCCATGTCCACCCTCGCACCCATCCTCATCGCGGCATCGCGATGTTTTCCATCGGCACCACTCGCATGCTCAAGACCGTCGCGCTGTACTCGTGCTCTTCAGCAGAAGAGCACGCGGCGGTCGACCGGGCCTTGCTCCGGATCCGCAGTCGGCGGTTCGGCTTTCGACTCTGCGGCCTTCTCATCACACCCGTAGCGCTCATTGAGGCGCTCTCGGTCTATGTCTCGGTCTTTGTTGTCATGCTCAACATCCGGCAAGGCTCCGAGTAGAAGCGCAGACGCAAGAGTAGCGCAAGCTATCCTCAACTTTGGGGAATTTGGAGCAAGAAATCGTCGTCTTGCATGGCTTCCAACCGCAGCATGGCAAGGAGGTTGTCAACAGACCCCGCCTCCTCCGCCGGGTTGATGTCGACGACAGGCTCGAGATGCAATTGGTCGGCAGGGGCCGAGCTTCCGTCATCATGCGGAGCCAACAAGAGATTCTCGCTTTCAACAAACGAGGAGGTCGTCATGCCAGAGAGCGCTGGGTCTTCGGTCGTGTTTGGCGCAGCGGCCTTGCGACACGCGTCCTCGACAAGGCGCGTCACAACACTTGCGAGGGGGTCGTGGGGGATTCGCGACAGCATGGTCTGAATGCCAGTAAGCACAGAGTGTGACACAATGGCCGACGAGAGGGCGACAATGGAAGCACCGATGGCAAAGAGAGACACGAAACTCGAGAGGAAAACGATGTCGTTATCGAGCGAGTTGACCATGGCCACGGCCTCATCTACTCGCGTTGGCGCCCAGGGCGACTCGGCTACTGCAATGTGGTCCAGTATGCACGAGAGAAACCCGGCTTCGGTAGCGGTAGGGACGCCGCAGGCGAGAGCTTCCAGCGGTGAGTTGGAGCCGAGGTCAGCGTTGAGCAGATCAAGCGCTAGCGTCATGCCAGGAACGGCGTTGTGCAGTGCACGAACAATGTCCGCGTCGCCGTCGCTACAGGGAGCCGCAAGCCCAGAACTCATAATAGCCTGGAGCTTGCGGCCGAGCGGGACGGCAAGCGGCGACAAGTTGTCCAAAAACGCTGCCGAGCCAATGTACTTTTCGACAATGGGAAAGTAGACAGTCTGAAAGGCGGTCCACCACAGCGGTGGCATCGGGCTCCAGGTACCAAACGACGGAATGAACGTGCAGCCGAAGAGGCAGCGCGCCATATGGGCATCACCCGGCCCAAGCTCCATCAGCTGCAGGCCGATTGTGTTCAGGCCATCCAAAGCGGCGAAGGCACGGATGAGTGCGCCCATGTCCGACGCCGCCGTGGCGCGGTCCATAATGCGGGTTGGCTTACCGTCCTTGACAAAGGCGACATCGATCGCAGCCCATCCGAGCGAGACGTGGCGCCGAACCTCGACTGGGTTCTCGCCAATGTGCAGGCCCGCAAGAATGAGATGGGCCAACGCGCCAAATCGCTCGGCTGACGATCCCGCCTGCGGCGAGGCGGCAGTCGACGGCATGACGCTCCGTGCCGCCGCAATGGCGCTGTGGCACTCGGCGCCGGTGCTCCGTCGCACATAGCCGACCATGCTGTGGACGACCATCGCCTCTTCCGGGCCCGCATCTGGCGTTCCACCCACACGCCTCAGACGCGCGAGCATCGCATCGCTCAGCCGTGCAGCGCCGAGGGCAGGATTGACGAACCGAGAGAAGAGCCACAAGACCTGTTCCAGCTCGGCGACGCGTGTGCTCGGAGCGCGATTCAGGGTACACACGCGCTTGATGCGCTTCTTGCGCTCCTCATCATCGCCGTTGACATTGACGCTCGCTCCACTACTTCCTTGACCACCACTTGCGCTGCTTCTGTCGCCCGTGTTGCAACTCTCGCCCGGCGTGGTGCTCGTCGACGACGCCGGGCTGGCTTCTGACCTTGCTCGCCGCCGCTTGCGAGGCGAGTAGACACAGGCCTCCCCACGGCGAAGACAGTCCTGGCAGCCACTACGCTCACCCGAGCACCGTCTGTGGAAGAAGCGGCAAGCGTCACACGACCGTCGTAGAGACATGCTCAAAACGCGACGTGTGCTCCCGCCCCGCCTGCCCGTCCCCCCGTGTCCCCCCTCCCCCCCCCCCCCCCCCCCAACCCCAACCCTCTCGCACCGACTCACATCTGTGCCATCATCCCTCCTACGAATGTTCCGAATCGGATGACACGCCATGGAATGGAGTTTGGCTTGGCCATTGGCCATTTTCGCGCCACACGAAGGCCTTTGGCGCCAAATGTGGACCGATCGATCACCACCGTCGCCAGTCGTAGCGACGAGGGCGTCGGGCAGACCGAGGCTGACCTCACCCCCAGGCAAGGTAACACCCGTTGGCGACTCGCATTCCACCCTCCACCCTCCATCCTCCACCACCGTCTCCACGTCCACCACCTCTCATCAATGAACGAGCTCCTGGAGCAGCTGGTGGGGACGTTCGTGCCGTCGGCCACGGGACCGGCAGGTCGTAGCCAGCTGGTCTCACTCTGCCACACCCTCCTGACCTCGCGCCTCTCGGCAGCACCCATTCCCGACCTGTTCCACACCTCGGAAGCCGTCCAACGAAGCCGTACGTAGCTCATGTTGGACAGTCTCCCCTCTCTGCCCCTCTCTGCCCCTCTCTGCTTCCTCTCCCCTCACTCACTCGCGTGCAGTCGCCAGGGCTGGCCGCCAGAGCCATGCCGTGGCCTTTGCTGATCTGGTCCGCAGGCTGGAGAGCATGGCCGTCGTCACCCGCAAGTGGTCAGTGGTGCATGTTTTGGCGGCGCTGGCCGAGACTGGCGATGTTCCGCTGCCGGCAAAGCCGCTACCGAGGCTGCTGATGCCGACGTCGGCTGGCGCGGCGTCGTCGACCCTTCCGTCGGCCGCCGTGGGCCTCTCGGCGGCGGCGGCCAAAGAGGTGGAGATGGTCCGTCGTGGCGCCGGAGAGGGTGCTGTGCGTGCGGGGTCTGGAAACGATGGCGGTGTGAGCGAGAACGAGCTGCTGCGAGACGTCATCTACGCGCTGCAAGGCATAGACGGGCGAGTGGTGGCGTTCGACAAGCGGGCGCAGGCGTTTGCCGTCGATCCGCGGGCACGAGTCAAGGCCGGACAGGCGAATCTTGTGCGACGGGTGGCGGAGCTCGGGTGGTTGTACATGCGGGTCAAGGCGTTTGTGGTTCAGGCGTCGGCGGCCCCGTCGCTGGGCCTTGTCGGGCAGGCGCTCGTCGGCGCGTTGCAGGGCGAGCTCGCCGAGTACTTTAAGCTGCTGGCGGTGCTCGAAGCGCAGGTGGCGGCCGGGCCGGGTGCGCATGGACAGGCGCTGACGCTGCGGCGGCTGGTGGTGTGGGTGCAGGACCCGCTGGTGCGGATGAAGGCCGTGGCCATGGTAGCAGACGCGGCGCGCGGGCTGCAGGGTGGCGAGCTCGTGTCGACCATCCACGCATTTGCCAAGCACGGCGACCCGTTTGTGGCGGCGTTTGTCGAGTCGCTGCTGGAGCAGGTCTGTGTTCCGTTCTTTGCCATGACGTCGCGGTGGATGTTTGACGGCGAGCTTGCTGACCCTTTTGGCGAGTTCTTTGTGGTGCCCAATGGAGCAGCTAGCGCCGACGAGGCGTGGCACGGCAAGTACGAGCTCGTAGATGGGCTCGTGCCGTCGTTTGTTGGTCCGGACCTGGCCTCGGACATTCTGCGCATCGGAAAGTCTGTGGCTTTTCTGCGGCGTGCGTGCGGGGTGACCGACTTTGCCTTTGACGGTGCCCTCGTCGGCGCGTGGGAGGCGGTGACGTACGCATCGGCGAGCAGCCAGCTTGCCGGACTTGTGGCGGCAGCGTCAGACGCAGTCAACGCCGCGGTCCGATCCACGCTCTTGGGCCAGTTTAAGCTCATGCCGGTCCTCGACATTTGCCGCCGCTACCTGCTGCTGGGCCAGGGCGACTTTGTCGGGTACCTCATGGAGCTGCTCGACGACGAGCTGGCGCGGCCGGCCTCGCAGGTCTTCCGCCACAACCTGCTGGGTATTTTGGAAACGGCGCTCAAGTCGACAACGCCGATTGCCGATGCCGAGCTGGCGGACAAGCTGGATGTCATGCTGCTGGAGGCGTCGCCGGGCGACATCGGATGGGACGTGTTCTCGCTCGACTACGTCTTCACCGGGCCGCTCACTACCATCTTTACCAACGACGTGCGGGCCAAGTACCTGCAGCTCTTCTCGTTCCTTTGGCGGCTGAAGCGGGTGGAGCGGCACCTGTCGTCTACCTGGCAGCGGCACGTCAACTCGGCGTCTGCTCTGCGGCAGCTGCCGGAGCTCGACCTCGTCGTCCGCAAGTGTCACATCCTGCGCAATGAGATGGCCCACTTTGTCTTCAACCTCCAGTACTACATCATGTTTGAAATCGAAGGCGCATGGACCGAGCTCGTCGAGCTCCTTACCTCTGACCGCACTCACCTTGACCTGGACGCCATCTACGGTGCTCACGAGGCGTACATCGACCGCATCCTGGAGCGGGTCCTGCTCGACGGCTCGGCCGAGGAGCTGCTCTCGCTCATCACCCAGATTTTTGCCCTCATCTCCAAGTTCCGCACCACCCAGGACGTTTTCTACGACTCTGCCATGGGCGAGGTCGCTCGCCGGGCCGCCGCCGAGGCTCGCGCCTACGAGCGGGTCCTTGCTGGCGAGTGGGGTACGACCGACAAGGAGTCGGACGCGTCAGCGAGCTCGTACTACCAGCTAACGCCGCAGGCCCGTGCGCAGCTTGGCGCCTTCAACGTCAAGTACGACGAGCTGGTCACCCAGCTCATCGACATGCTCAACGCCCAGTCGGCCTCGGCGCTCCGCAACCTCTCGTTCCGCATCGACTTTAACGAGTTCTGGAAGTCCAAGCGGAGCTCAAACCCTTAACGGTACGATTTCTCGCACCGCGCCAGGTTGCACAACTGTGGCATACACCCGAGGTCGCCTGGTGACAAAGGGCGTGTCCACTCCGTAATGGGATAAAGTTGCCTTACACGTCTGCATAGAAGGCGTCGAGATCGTACTCGTTGGCCTCTGCGTCGCCAAGGGACATGATGTCCGGCACAGGCTGCGGGAGGCCGGGGGCAGCAACAGTGGCTGCCGCGCGAGGGGCGGGCGCTGCAGGTGCCATGGTTGGGAGTGCTTGCGTGGCGGCTGGCGGTGGCACGTCCGGCGTCTGATTGATAACCTGCGCGTAGCCGCCGGCACCGAGGAGGCCGGACGGTTTCTTGCGGCGACGGCGTTGCTGCTGCTGTTGTTGCTGCTGCTGGAGCTGGGCCTGCTGAAGCTGGACCTGCTGGAACTGCGCCTGCTGTGCCTGATCGGGGCGCTGGTTGCGGCGACGGCGACGGCGACGTTGGGGCTGAGCCTGAGCTTGGGCCTGGGCTTGGGCCTGAGCTTGGGCCTGGGCCTGAACCAGAGCGCGCTGAGCCTGTTCGGCCATGGCAGCCATGACTTCGGGCGAGATCTGGGGCGCGCCAGTCTGGGCTGTGGGCTGAGCGGAAGCTGGTGCCGGAGCCGGGGCTTGGGCGGGGCCGCGGATGTCGGAGCGACCGTGCCAGAGAAGAACATCGAGGAGAGTGGATCATCCGCAGGATCCTCGGTAGGTGCTGCAGGCTCTGGCGCTGCGGCAGGCTCATCGGCGTCGGCTTCGGGCCCCGGCGCGTTGGTGTTGCCTTCAGCTGAAGGAACTTCGCTATTGCTGTTGTCGTCACCAGAATGGTCGTCGGGCGCGACGGCCGGATCGCTGTTCGAGTTGTCGCCCGGCGAGACAGCGGGAGCAAGGAGCGGGTTGGGGCCGTCGTCGTCGCTTGATTCATCGCCCGGCGAGACAGCGGGAGCAAGGAGCGGATTGGGGCCGTCGTCGCCGCTTGTTTCATCACCCGGCAAGACGGCGGGGGCAAGGAGCGGGTTGGGGCCGTCGTCGTCGCTTGATTCATCGCCCGGCGAGACAGCGGGAGCAAGGAGCGGGTTGGGGCCGTCGCCGTCGCTTGATTCATCGCCCGGCGAGACAGCGGGAGCAAGGAGCGGGTTGGGGCCGTCGTCGTCGCTTGATTCATCGCCCGGCGAGACAGCGGGAGCGAGGAGCGGGTTGGGGCCGTCGTCGTCGCTTGATTCATCGCCCGGCGAGACAGCGGGAGCGAGGAGCGGGTTGGGGCCGTCGTCGTCGCTTGATTCATCGCCCGGCGAGACAGCAGGAGCGAGGAGTGGGTTGGGGCCGTCGTCGTCGCTTGATTCATCGCTCGGCGAGACAGCGGGAGCAAGGAGCGGGTTGGGGCCGTCGTCGTCGCTTGATTCATCGCCCGGCGAGACAGCAGGAGCAAGGAGCGGGTTGGGGCCGTCGTCGTCGCTTGATTCATCGCCCGGCGAGACAGCGGGAGCAAGGAGCGGGTTGGGGCCGTCGTCGTCGCTTGATTCATCGCCCGGCGAGACAGCGGGAGCAAGGAGCGGGTTGGGGCCGTCGTCGTCGCTTGATTCATCGCCCGGCGAGACAGCGGGAGCAAGGAGCGGGTTGGGGCCGTCGTCATCACTCGAATCCTCACCAGGCCCCACAGCGTGTGCAAGGAGCGGGTTGGGGCCATCATCGTCACTCGAATCCTCACCAGGCCCCACAGCGTGTGCAAGCATCGGATTCGTGTCGTCGTCAGATGAAGGCTCGGCCTCGGGCTCTAGCATCGGATTGCCACCATCAGACGATGACTCAACGCGAGTCGGCGGCGGTGCCATATATGCAGCACCTCCATCGTCGCTGTCGTCGTCCGAGAAAAAGCCATCGTCCAACTCGCCGGCCACAAACTCGTCCACGTTGGTAACGTCCTGCTCCGGTGGCGGCTTGATGAACGAGTTGGGGTCCACCTCTGGCTCGGCCTCGGGCTCGGCCTCCTTGGCCATGAGCTTGGACTTCATCCGCGAGAAGAACCCGCCACGCTTCTTCGTCTTGGCCTTGGGCTGGGCCTTGGCCTTGGCTGGCCGTGGCGGCGTGATGGCGCCGGTCCCGCTGGCAGCGCCCGAGCTCACGCCACTCGCGACGGGCGGCGGTGACGTTGCCTGCGTCCGCGGAGGAGGGGACGCGGTGGCGGCGGCAGCGGCAGCCGCGCGATCCTTGGCCCGCATTTCCTCGGCCTTGCGCTTGACAAACGCGTCGTAGTCCTCGCCGGTGGCAATGGCGGTCATCTCCTGCTCGGCCAACTGGAGCTCGGACGCGTTGAGCTCAAGCCGCTTGGCCAGCGACTTGCGCTGCAGCTTGAGGAACGGAATGTTGAAAAAGGTGTGGATGCCGCGGAGGCCGAAGTTGGTTCGCATCGATGCCTCCAAGTAGCGGACAGGGCGGACGGCCGAGGCGCGCGCGACCCAAGCCCGCAGGACGGCAGCATCAAGCTTGCGCTCATCAACGGCGTCGACACGGTTGCCGATGACCAGAATCTCGATGCCGTTCGGCACCTCACCGGCCTTCTGCCGCACATAGTCCAGCGTCCACGGCTTGCACACATCAACCAGAAAGACCACCGCGTGTGCCCCCTGGTACACGTTGACCGTCTCGGCGTCAAGCGCAGGCTGGCCCTCTTCACGCCCGAGCCCCGAGGCCCGGTCAACCACGTCCCACACTTCGACCTTGACCACTTCGTCAGTCAGCTTGTAGTTCCAGTGGATGTTGGCCACCTGGATCTCTGGCGTGGTGGTTGTTGACGCCGCAAACGGCCGTCCCTGAAGCCGATGCCACAGCGTTGTCTTGCCCGTCCCAGTATCGCCCCGCAACAACACCTTCACTGCTCGTTCAGCGCCGTCAGTCCACATGGAGAACCATGAGCCGCACCACCACCGCATGCATGAGCAGGCCCAAGTCCCGGAAGTAATACCACGACCGTGACCACGACCGCAACGACCAGAACGACCGCAACGACCACGACGACCAGATCGACCAGGACGACCGCGACGACCAGAACGACCAGAAAGACCAGAACGACCAGCACCAGCACCAGCGCAAACCCCACGCCATGCCCATACCCACATGCCCACCATATAGGTAAGTCCCCCTCCTCCCCCTCCCGCCTCCACCACATTGCGCCGCCTTTTTTCCGCCGTCTCTGCTCCCAC